AATTGTTATGTCTCTGGGAAGCCCTGATAATATCGCTTACCCTGTTTGTGTATTGTACATAACAGTTAGCGGATAATTTATGATATTTGAACATTTTTTCAAAGAACATCTAACGAGTTAGATGTTAATTTTTAATAGGTCATTTTTTTTATGATATTTGGATATCAATCACAGATATCAAATATAAATCAAAACTGCTGGTTGGACAATTGCTGGTGAGGACAACTGCCAACCTTTTTATTATTTATTTTATTTTATTACAGTTTATAACTGTTGATTTTATTGCCAGTGATTTTGTTTGTTCTTTTTGGTAAAGTTTATTAAATGATAAATGAGGCAACAGTTAAAGTTGTTGTAAGTTCAACAGTTGCCATGTGTTGGACTTAGTGGTATTGCACATAATATTCAGCTGTGATAACTTTGTGTCTAGGGGGTGCTATTATAGATAGTCAGTCAGTCATTTACTGAGTGCTATTATAGACAATGTGTTAAGTAAACTGATTCTGTATAATAATAATAAAGAATATTTAATCATTATGTATTGGTTATTTTTTAATAAAAAGGACATAAATACAGAAAAACAAATGATATCATCGGCAGTTGTCCTCGCCAGCAGTTCTCCTGCCTGCAATTGTCCTGCTCCCAAATTACATTAAATATATGAATAGTGCATGAAATGAAATTAAATGAAAAGGGGTTTAACTGTTCTGCTTCGAACTGGGCTAATGAAGACGGGCATACGCCATACAGTGTGCTATGAGGGAAATTTTGCCCGAACAGTAGTACTATGGCCTACGCACCCTTTCATGCAAATTGTTTAGGGACACTTTACAAAGTGACAATTTAATCATATTTAAAAAAACAAGATTATGGACATGTATACAGAGTCCGTTAAAAACCTGTTTAAATCAATGTGTTTCAAATAATTTTTTTTTTAAAGAATATTGATATATACAACATATTAAACAAAATGGTAGATTATACCATAAAACAGGTACACTTGTATCAAGAGATAGTTTGTTACTGGTTGCAGTAAATTTTACTATACACGTTTCTATGTATTCTATCTACATGCCATAAAAGTTTTAACAATAAATTACCTTATTTTTCATTTTGCACGAAATCAACCAATTAATAAATCTATAAACAAAATTAACAACCCTAATTCAGACAGCAACTGTTAATACACACTTTGGTTGAAGTAAATAATTCAGACAGCAACTGTTAATACACACTTTGGTTGAAGTAAATAATTCATGTAGTGCTGTTAATTTGTTAAATTAATTTATGGCCCCAATCAGGTATGACAACACCGCATTTGTTACCTAACACCTAGGTTAACGTATTTAAACATTCTGATCAATCAACCATGACAAAAAGATGACAATATTTTTCCCATTTTGACTGTATATACAGAATACTAGTACACTAATAACGTAATTTTAAAATGATTAGAAATACAGACGTGTTATTGATGAACTATTTAAATATCCATATCACATCCCAAGTATTCAAGTAATATATCATCTAGTTTAAATGGGAGCAGGTCTATTCATCCCAAGACCTGATTAACAACCTATCATTGCACCCGGAATTCTGTATAAGAATCTACTTAAAATTTCAAAATGCGACTCATAAGGTGATATCGCGGACAACAACATCAGGGTTTAAACTACATTATCAAATAAACCTTAAATCAATTGATCAAACTCATTGTAAGGAGGAACTGCATGCTTTCTGATATGGTTGGGTTATTTCAGGCACCAGGTAGTCGTAAGAATAGAATACAACAAGTCTCGGAAAATGATTACATGTGAATTCGGTCGTAGGTGTTTCTTTGATCTGGTTTATCATTGGGCAATTCTGTAATTGCATGAAAACGGCTACATTATAAGTTAAAAGTTCTGGAATGAGGATCGTTCGATTGTAAGTGAATTACCACTGTTCGGTTGCTTGTGTCGTATGCACAATTTACGCATAGTGGCACGTTTTTATAATTTTAATGAATATGAAACAGTCAATGCGCGTCTTTTTAGTTATGAAGCAGTAATATATTTCGGTTGTAGAAAAATTAGTTTTTGATGGATGATACTCTCTACATTCCCGCTATATTCAAATTGGGCTCTGACTGCTGGGCATTTATAAATGACGACATTACATTCACCTTTCCGAAGGATAGATAAAAGGTCCATATTTTTATTTCATTAAATGCAACTTTATATATGAAAGCAATACAAAAGAATAGAAACGTTTATCATAGCGAGCACACACGCCTATCTAAAGACCTGTCTTTAATTATACAAAGACCTGCGTAAAACACACGATCGAATGATAAATTGCACGGTAAAACAGTTTTACTACCTAAATTTTGATTTAACACGTACATGTCAGAAAAAGCCTGCTGGTCCTTTATAATAACCTTTTGGTGCAGTTATCGCAACTATCGACAAAACACATCAATTGAATAATACACACCTTGACATTCATTTTTTACCGGTCGGTTAATTAACACACCTCTACAGAAAATGCACCATCACACAGTTTTTTTACCCCTAGCATTAATTAACTCACCCCTCAATTTCTCACCCTTGTTAATTAACATACTTTATTTATAATTTTAATGCGGTAATGCTGAGTAATAATCAGGAAATTTATTTTCTTTCAAAAGACGTATAAATAACAATCCAGCTAGATAGAAATTTATATATGGTACATGCACAGATCAACTCCTTATTAGGTCTCAGTGTCTTAATTCATCAGTTACAGATGTCATTGATGGTGTGATGAGAGGTGATTGACAGGTCAATTTAACATGTGGCCAAATTAAAGACAGGATTACCAGTTGACCCCCCACCAAAGGTCAACATGTCACATGACTATAAGATATAATTGGACAATGATTATGAGACAGGAAGACTAAGTAATTGATATAACAGACCTGGCTGTCTAGATGGAGGTTATTATCTGCACTGTAAGATTTGTACAAGTTTCCAGAGAGAGAGAGAGAGAGAGAGAGAGAGAGATGGTTAAATTAAACCACTAAAGCCCATGGCCAGTGCATACCGACTAACATTTGTTGGCATCTATAAAACCAAATGTTTTCAACCTTTTTTAAATTTCCAGAAAACAACGAATGTTTAAGACAAACAACCAACATCTGTTCAAAAGAGACTGATGCTGATGTCACATGACTGACCTAAACATCTCTTGGTAACAAAATGGCGAAATACTGATTGGATATCTGTATTAAAATGTGTCACTCTTTGTTGAAATTCAATGAAAATGAGACCAACAAGAACATTTGTTGACCAAACAATGTTTTTAAAATCAAACAAGTATTAGCCGGTCTGCGATGGGCTTAACTAGTTTATTTCATGACTAAAAGCGCATCTTTTAAAATTTAAAGGAGAGAGAAAGGGTGAGATAAATGGGGTTTAATGTCTACTGAACACTGACTAGGTTATATTGGGACTTATAAAAAAAATGAAATCAAATGGGGTTTGACATCCTACTGTTCTGCTCCGAGGGAAATTTTGCCTGGACAGGGGGCGCTACTGCCTCTTATATCGAATTCCAATTGCCAAAGGATCTTTAATGAGCATGCCAATATGTACACAGGACCTTGGTTTTTTGTTCCATCTGAATGACTAGACAGCTTTCATTGTCAGGACCTCCGTCCTATACCATTGACAAGGCGAAACTCATCCCAAACTTAGGCTGCCTGTCTACAGCTAGCTCCGCCTGAGAACAGGCCATAACCTGATTGACCGACACTTAAATTCCTACATCGAAGATTTTAGTTGTAAACACTGAGTATGCTTTTAGAAATTTTTAGAAGTATTTATTTTTCTTCTATTTTCATATTGAATGAAATTAAATGTGATTATTTAGCCGTTGTGTGTATGAAAGATGTCAAACTGATCGGAGCAGAATCACGAAATAGTCCACTAATTATTCAATATGGCGGCGCCCATGAAAGATAATTTCACAGAAGCGGTTTTGTTTGCAAAGACAAATTCAGGAGTATCTAACCTTGTTTTGAAAGATAAACACATTGAAACTGTAAAGACAGTGTACAATGGTAAAGAATGTATTGCAATATTATGCACTAGCACATATTATATATCGCTTTTACCGGAGTGGCAGAAGTCGACATTTTGCTAACTTGACATTTGTTTACATAAACCACGTGCTTCGAGTGTACAAAGCAGTAGGCCAGTCGATAAGTTCCACCCCAAAATGATCATGTGAGCATTTTAAATGGATGGTATTTAGGGCAGTTATGTATTCTCGAAGTATGATGTAGATGATAGCTGCGTGCAGTATTGGTGAAACCGTGTTGGAAAATCCTGATGAATTTTTTCATCCAACATCGGAAGCAAACCTGTGATCTCCAGGCTAGCGAGCCAGCATCTTACTCACATAGCCACCGTGTCTCCTAGGGACTACCGGTATGTTATAACATGGGGTATATTCATTTCAATAGCAGTACCAGAAGGGTCATTCCACGTCAATTCACCTAACACCCTGTCATCTCAGATTTCTATCAAACATGGTATATAATATGGTTGCTGTGCAGGAAAACACCAAACCATAAGTCTGAGTGAGTTGAAAATTTGATGAAATTCAACTTTTTAAGGCATAACAACCCTATATACAAAATTTCATTAAAATCTGAGATGTTCGGGTTAAGAATTACAGATTTCTGAAGTGAACATACATGGAATGACCCAGAAAGCAAAGGCAAGAGAAATAGGAGGTACTGCCATTTTCAATTGCATAAAGCTAGCACCTGGAATCAGAGCCAAATATCATGACATAATCATATCACTTTAAATTTTGTAAGGTGCCTGAACGATTGTGTTGACTTTTGCATGTCTTGCTTTCAAAGGTTTGATCTGTTGACATCTAGCATGAGCCGATCAGATGACATACCTGTTATAGACCATGGGTAGAATAATAGTTTTCGCAACTTGTACATTAATACATTAAATACAAACCTCTGATTTCATCATAAGATCATGTTTTCCTTTAAGATGATATAAACCATCCACATCCATCTCAGCTTCACTCTCATCACTGGACTCATCTTCTATAGTCCTGAATAATAAACAAACATACTGTTATTGTACAAAGTCTTTAGTTTACTGAATATGATGTAAAATTGTTAGATTAAATGGAATAGAAGTTTGTAATATATTAATGAAACCAGAGAAAGGTACTTGTGAACTAAACCCCCAGACGTCCTGTCAATGTTATATACAGGACCTCAGATATTAGTCTATAACTAGACACTTTTTCTTGCCGTAAGTCCTGAACAACTGACAAAGGCTGATTAGACTAGAAATTCTCCAGGAACCTTTCTCGGCCAACATTGGGACAAAACTTGTTATTCACCTAGTGCCATTACTCACTAAGCCACATTCAGTAGGCCAAATATTTGAGAGTGAGAGAGGGGGGGGGGGGGCTGGTTTTGTGTTTCATTGTGCCCATGAATTATTTCTGCAACTACCATGAAACAAGATCAAAAGTGCCATTCTATTTTCTTTCCAAAATGAATTGTGGGTAATAAAAACATACTTCAGCTCACTTTGAAAATGGCAAAATTTGACAAGAACACTAAATTTGATGATGACCATATCCTGCTTGTGTTAAATGTTGCTGGTGGGTTTGAGAGAGACTCGACAATCTTTAATCAGAATTAAATGCATGTATTTTTTTACTTTCACATGAAAATAAAATACATGACCAATGGTTTACGTTTCATATTTACATTTGTTGTATTTTTGATCTGGAGTCATTTGAACCTTTGTCTTGTTTTTTTCTCTGATATTCTTCTAATTCTGCACCTTCCAGTTTCACACGACGCTGTACCTGTAAGAAAAAAGAAACTAATTCGAAGTCTGACATTTCTTCCACATGTATTTCTATTTGGTCAGAATAACGTTTATTTTTCACAGGCAACTTTAGCCCAGAATCTTTTTTCTACATCACAGTCAAAGAACATGGCCATTTTGGGCAGCTTTTGAGGAAGCAGACTGGGTTTCTCCTTTGCTGTTCTCAGAGATGAGCATGATAAATAAAAATGTATTAACTTACATCTATAGTAATACATCGTAACTGTGGATTATCTATGAGTTCTCGAGCGAGAGTTCCAGGTGATGTCCGTGTGGTCAGGACAATACTATTTTTAGAATTACCACACCAGGCTATAAATAGATCTCTAGAATAACCGGACTGTAAATCTGGTGTACTGGCTAAAACTACCTGAAATTATAATACAATAGAGAATGAATTTCTTATAAGTTCATGTAGCCTACAAATCATGAAGATTTTTGACTATTTCGCTCTGAAAGAATACATTTTTAATTTACCCAAATCGCATTTTAAAGTCTATTTGTAAGTACAGAGAACCACATCACAGATAAAGAAACAAACTAAACCCAAGAAGACAAATCTGAGGACAATAAACATCACCCACAGATTGTGTAAGTAATAAAAAAGGAAGGTACAATCAAAACTCCGGTTATACATCCATAGCACAAAAGCTATCTACAGTGAATCATGTTCACATCATTTAGCAGTCAAAATTTGAAATGAGGCAAGATTCTTTGTTATACAGTGTCAGTAAACACAACAAAAACAACTGAATTACCGGTATATTGTTTTGAGAACTCTGTGTTTACAAGATTCTAAAATTTGAAAGGAAATAATAGGCTCAAAAGAACAAGTTTTAAAATTTTACACAGGGAAATTGTTTTGTATCACATTCATGCCTTGAAAGTCCAAATATGATCTGAAATTAATGAAACAAGCTAAAAGTGAGGCTGACGTTCCCACACCATAATTACAAAATAAATAGATGACACTCGATTGAGTGCTTGATATGCTTCATACAAAGTTAAAATTTGCTAGAAACTAAAATTACTTGGCAACAACATTAAATGTGGGGTGTATAAAAATAATATCTCGAGTTTACTGGATGTTCATAATAGAAATTAGTTCATTCTGAGTATGTGTTCTATGCAGTGCACATCTATGTTCTTTAGAGGAAGTATTTCATTAGTAATATGATCAGGTTTCACAAAGACCTTCATAAGAATAAAGAACTTGAAATAACAAAACATAACAAGGGATAACATTCTTTCTGCCATAGAACCAGTCTATCACATTTCTAATCTATTTCAAAGACTTTTACATATACTGATACTGATCTTAGATATTTATTTATAGATGATGACAGAGATCAGAAATAGGAACTTTAATTTCTAAATGGACTTTGTTGGCATATCAACTGTCCATGTAGATGAAAAAGTTCACACAACTGTTACAAGGCATACTGAAAATAGATTCCAAAATTCATTCAAATGACAGAGAAATAAAAATGTTATATTATGTTTACTGGTACTGTTGCTTAAAGTTGAATTCTGATTACAAAACTACAGAAATAATAAAATAAAAAAAAGATAACGTCCTAAACAGTCACCATACTTCTTTTCAATTTGTAGAACAAATATGGCGACTGATGGCCGGTATAAGAAGATAGGCAGTGTATGCCTTGTCAAGCACAGAGTCCACATCCGACTAGCTATATTTCAACCATCACTCGCTCAACTGGATGAGGTTTTCTTCACTATTACCTTACTGAAAATATTATTGCTACACAATTTCTTTGTCTGATCAGGTACCTATAATTTTACTAATTAGATGAAACAAGCCAACCACAATTTACTTTTGCTCTAAAAAATAAGAGGAAAACTGTCTTACCCCAAACAATAACAACCGTATGTTAATGCCATTCAATTCTTTATGTTGTGAAATGTTTTGCACAACAACGTAGAAAGACCAAATAATTTAGTATTAAAAATGTATCCAAACCAGCCAGAAAACGGCTCTTCTCTCCATCAAATAGGTATGTTTTCACTTGGTTGGCTTATTTCATCTAATTAATAAAATAAGTGCATTGCTATATAATGTTACATGTGGACATTCTGGCAAATTTGTAACATTATCTAAAGTTTAAAGAAAATTTCTTTATATTGTTAATGTAAGTAGGTCCTGAGACTTTTTATATGAAAAAAAAGCATAATATTAAGAATTTAAGATTTATATATAATCATATTTTAATAACCTAAAATCTAAACATTTATTGGGCATGCAAATGTTGCATTTTAATGTTACATAAATAACTGCAATTACTAGAATTATTGTTTTTAACTAAAATTTTAAATAGTCTGCAATGAAAGGTATTAATAATATGATATAGTATGTCTACCCTGGAGCAAGTTTTAACTTTAAAATCATGTGCTAATGTTACATAAGGACAGGACAGGGGTCAAAGTCATTATGATCGAGTGAATAAGGCGAAAATGCCAACCGCCATGTTTATGCATCGGAAATATGGCTTTCTTTGCCATAAAGAAAGTGGTACATTATGAGTAAATACCGCCATGAAAGTCAGATTGGTTGTGCTAACGTATCAAGAGTGCTAACATTACATTTTCAGACAGACAACTGTAAAAATGGCATATCTTATCAATTGATGTCACATTATCCATATCCTGTGTGGACTGGACATTTCTTAAATACCTATTGGTACACTTTATAATATAATAAAACATGCCATATACTGGATATTGGCATGGCCTGCCTTTGTTTTTGCTCTTTTTTTTAACAAGAAAATGTAAGTTACTGCATTGCATGGAATAGAATATATACAAATGCCATCAAAGTTTGATTTATTGCCACTTTGAATCTATATTTTATTCCCCTGTTTATCAGAAAAATATTTACACAATCTTTATAATTAAGATATCAACCTAATAATTAAGATATATAATTTTTCTAAAGTCAAATAGATGACTTAAATGCTCGTAAAGGTGAGTTTTCTTTCAAAATAAAAATTACATACATTTGTAAAGCCAATGATTTTAAGACAATATTTCATTTGATCTTTTACAAATAAATACTATTTTTAAAAAAAAATGAGAGAACCTGATAACTGTAACTGTCTTGAATTTAGTATGGTATTGAAAAAGGGAAGGTGTTGATGGCATTTATCACATTCTAGATAAAAGCTCTTAATCATATATTGAACTCAGAACTAGTATGTCCCTAAAGCAGTCAACTAAAAACATTTTTCAACAGATAATGTAACTGAAAAGATCTAATTGTTTACTAACATAAATGTTGTAACTTGATAACAGCAATCATGGGAAATAAAACTGAACGTTATCACACGCACCACTGGGTATTAGGAATGAGGATGCGATGATAATCTGATCATCTATGCTAGATTAAAGTAGATTCAATACAATTATCAGCATTAGACATAGGGAGATGTAGCACCATACAATTCACTATAAAAGAGACATCATGCAATATAATGATCATGACCTTCCCACAGGAATACTGCTATACAGTGTTTATTATTTAGGAATAAAAGATAGTGCTTGTAAATTAAAATCAATAAAAGTTTGACACCGTCTCTGTGCTCTAATTTTGTTTTATATATGTATTAATTGAAAGGCACCTTTTTTTACTCAGTATGAATTAGAGTTAACGGTGGAAGCATACTCATAATTTCAATTTTACATAAATTTGCCTGGTGTCCATGTCTAATTATTTTCTCGGAAGATCATTTGGTAGTTAGATATGGATACCTGTCTTAGCAAAATCCCCCCCCCCCCCATGCCCGCACATAAAACACATCGTAAACAGGCCCGGAGTGATGCCCATGCTCTGCTTGAGAGGTAGGGGACAATAAAATGGAGTGTCAGTCTAAAAATACAAATCCAGGTTTTATAAGCCCAGTAGTCAGTTTAAACTGTCAGATCATGTTAAACTAAATGTCTCTTGAATCAGTTTATTATGATAGAACTTGTTAACAACAATTCACTTAAATGTTTTGAACATCTATCAGACTTAAAGTTATTCTGGAAATTGGTTCTGATAAAATTAGACTGTATAGGGATTTCCTTAACTCATTTAAAACACAAGACTGTTTGTCATATTATATTTACTGTAAATTAAAGTGGGTATCATCACCTCAGAGAAAAAGATATGAAAATAAAAATGTTTCTTTCAAAGATACATGTATAGCGTTAAGGTTATATTTTCTTTTAGATATATAAGAATATTTATGTCTTTACTTATATACTATTCAAAAAAAGTAGGGGATATTTGATTTTTAAGTGTTATTAAAGTCACCTAATGAAACTGACGAAGAAACAAATGACAAAATGAAATGAAGTTCACATTCGTCGATTTATTCCAAATGATCGTTAGACTAAGTAAGGCACAGACTGACCATTATAAGGGTAAAATGATACCCGGGGTCAAACAGCAAAGTTACCACAGCATCACAACCAAGTCAGTAACGGGTAAATCCTCCTCTGTTTGCCAAACAAGCATTGATCCGACGTGGCATACTCCTAATGAGACGTCTAAGGTCATTTTGGTCCAGATTGTCCCATTCCTGTTGCAACGCAGCAGCAAGTTCTTGGACATTGGCAGGACGTTGTTGACGTTGACGTAACCTCTGTCCAACCATGTCCCAGACATGCTCGATGGGGGAGAGGTCGGGACTCAGTGCTGGCCAAGGTAATGTGGTGATGTTCTGTTGTTGGAGGTAACCTGTAATGATCCTGGCCCTGTGACATCTTGTGTTGTCATCCTGGAAGATGAAACGGCGGCCATGACGTCGTGCGAACGGCACAACATGGACTGCCAAGATGTTGTCCCGGTAGTACTGGCCTGTAACACGCCCTGCAACAACATGTAAAGCCGTTCTTCCAGCAACAGTGATGCCTCCCCACACCATAACAGAACCACCCCCAAATCAATCATGTCTGATGACGTTAACGTCTTGGAAGCGCTCGTTTCGACGACTGCACACCCTCCTACGTCTGTCCAAAAAATCAACAGTGAACCTTGACTCATCTGAAAACATCACATTGCTCCAGCGTCGATTATCCCAGTGTTGACAATCCCTACACCAACGACGTCTTGCCTGAATGTGATGATCTCTCAAACAAGGGATCACGCGAGGACGTCGGGCGCGAAGGTGACCCCTATGCAGTCGATTCCGAATCGTCTGGCCACTCACTCTCACACCAGTGTCTGTTTGAAGACGAGCGCTGATCTGATTTGCTGTGATGACACGATTTCTCAAGGCCAAGGTACGGATAAATCGATCCTGGGCTTGAGTTGTCGCCCTTGGTCGACCTGAGCGTGGTCTGTCCTGTACAGATTGTGTATCACGGTAT